AAAAAAGTCTTTACCTAAGACTCTTGATTGTGCTTTTGTTATACTTATAGAATCTGGTTATATATTAAAGAATCATGATTTTGTTGCAAGGAACGGAAACAATGCCTGAATTAAGCACAAACATAAATAATTAGATGAATGTTGGGGTCTTACAGAAATCAAAGGAGGCCAAATTTGGACACTTGGACAAATTCAAGGCTGTTTTAGAGAACCAAGATTCTGGATTAATAAAATATGTACATGTATAGTAATAGTTTGTCCAGCATAGCAACTGACTGCTACAGAACAACAGAAAATAGGGATTTTTCATTTTGATTGAAGGACAGAGGGGAGAATAGTCAAATTCCAAAAATGGTGATTTGAGATTTTCTGAGCCCAGTTTTTGCAAATTATGCAGATTCAGGTTTACTATGCTTAGCACATCTTAAAGCCTGCAGTCCAGCCCACTGAGTGTTATCCTAGTAACTCATTCACTTAATCTACTTCAATCAATGTAGAAATAGTGACCATGTATACATTCATCACAGAACAAATGGGAATGAATGACAGTCCAGATTTATGAAAAATAAAACTTCTGTCTCAATATTTGTACTTAGTATTGTTCAGCATCCATTTAAATTTGTTGCTTAAATGTTAGGAGCAAATAATAGGAGGCTATTTATATAGTTTCATAATCTTAGTAATATAATTATCTGAGAAAAATCATGGGAAAACTGGGATTAGTCTGGATATAAAGAAACAAAAGTTCCATTAATTAATTTGCTCACAGTCTCGATTAGATTAAATGTATCATATATAAAATGCAGAGGGGGACTTTTTTTGTCAGTACAATTTTTATGACCTTTCTCTAAAGAGCACCATCACTATTTCTGTGTTATTAAAAACATTAATGTAGAAATACCTGAAATGACCCTAATAATAGATGTGCTAGTGTGATGGTTTACTCAGCTGAATGATCATGTTAATTAGATTGGTGAACTACAGAAAATATCTGTAGTTTTAATGTGACACTCTGATTGACAGTTTGGGGCTTCCAGACAATCAATTTGCTATAAGGTAAGATGGGTCATCTTTAGAGTCAAAGTCAAAGGAACTAATGTAAAACTGAATGGTTTATAGAATAAAAATTCTCACCCAAGAAGGTCTGTAAGGAATAAGACATGCTTCCTAAAAAGATCTTAAGTAGAGAGTAATTTCATTGGAACAGAGAAAAAACTTTAGAAACAAATTTGCTAGAATTCTTTCTATCTTATGGTTTAGATTGGGCAAAATGGAAAACTGAAATATATCTGGAATATAATGGAATGTAACTAAAATTGAAGTTAGGATCATTTATAAGGTAATTGAAGTTTGGATCTTTATAAGGTAAGTAGTCAGGAGATTAACCAACTGAGGTGTCTCATATTCCACATGTATTGCTGTTTCTCAGCTCCTAGATTTTTACTAGAATCATTAAACTACATAGGTCTCTAGTGTCAACACCTTTAGTTTCATTAAAATATAAAAAACCAACTTTTTCTTTGTATTTTGATCTTATCAGCTAACCCAGGGACATAATGTTTCACATCTTCTCCAATTAAAAATTTAGTCTTAGAGACTGTATTTTACTAGTATTACATCATTATTATAACTAATTTTAGTACTGGTAGTAGTTGTACAGTCATTTTTTCTTTATTAAATTATGACAATAAGAAGGAACATTAAAATACCTTTGACCAGAATGGCAGGAGTATTTCATCCATCTTACATAAAACAAACTGTATCTGGATACCTCTTGAAAGGGGATGGTAAAGAAAGTATTAGTGAGATAAGGTAGTTTGTTTAATTTCCATCCCCCCTCCTATAATGACTGTGGCAGTGATATGATTGGGAAATGACTTCCTTCAGCATTGAGAGTCACCAAGGCCTATCAGTTGTTGAATTTACTGGAAAGATAGGAGTATCATCAAGTGTTTTAAGGTATCAATATACCTACATGCATGATTTCTTCAATGAAAGAATCCAATATCCTTTTGTCCTCCAGGGAGTCTGAGCTATTCACATTTTATCACTGCTCTCTACTTCAGTAACTCTAGAAGTTCTCAGTTAGCATGTTCATTGAAAACTTGGTTAAATGCTGATTTTGCTATACCTTAGCCTCCTGAACAGTAGTGACTGGGTTTCCTAGTCACTTATATTACATCTAACCATCATTGTAGTGTTACAGTAAACATCAAGGCTCTCAAAATGGAGATTGCCCAATATTTCTTATTGCTAACAGATTTTTTATCTTTCACGTGCAAATACTATTTGTTAGAGAATATGAAAAATACTTAACAATTTTTAGTTCCAATATTTAGCAGCCAAATAAACTATTGCTTCCAACCATTAGCCATTATAGAGCAGATGGCCCATATATTTCTCTTTCAGTGGTGAACTTAATGTAGTATTTATACATTGATTCCCAATGATGCATATCTGAAACTTTTATATTATAATGCAATGCCACTTCAATTAAAAAACAAAATTAGATAAAACAAAAGGTAATCATCAAACCCAATGCACATATATTTTCTCCTTGCTATCTTGTGTGATTATTAAGCTTTGCATTTTACATTTTGCATTTATATCTACATATAAAAATTTAGCAAATTTGATCAATTTTGAGTCAATTTACATGAAAAGTCTATGGCCACATTCATCTATTTGGCTAGTGAATGTTCAGTTGTTCTGTCATCATTCCTTGTAATAGTCGTTCTTTCTCCACTGAATTACCTTTGCTCTATTATCAGAGATCATTTGGCTATATAATTTTATTGTTCATTTTCTGGGCTCTCTACACCATTCCACTGATCTGCCTATTCTTTTGTTAATATCACATGTTTTAATAACTGCAGCTTTTTCCTAAGTCTTAAAATTAGGAGATAAGACATCCCCTATCTTGTTCTTCTTCAGTATGTATTTGTCTTTGAGTTTTTTAATCAGAGGTCTGAAGTATTTCTCACTGGGTATTCTACATATTTTGTTAGATCTATACCTAATTATTACATATTTTGGTAGTCTGATAAATTATATTGTAGCTTTTTACTTCAAATTCCAATTGCTCATTGCTGATAGATAAGAAAATATCCTTACTATGTTTTTAATATTAACCTTGTATCTTTAAATCTTTCTATACTTGATTTAGATTCAGGAAGATGGATTTTTTTTTTTTTTTTGCTGATTCTATGGAATTTTCATTTTACTGCCTTATTGCATTAACTAGGAGTTTCACTTGTAATATCCTTGTCTGGTTTTGGAATTTGACATTCTGAACCATAAAGTGTAATTAGAATAAGTCAGAATGAAATACTTACTGCTACTATTTTCTCAAGAGAATTAGTATAGTATTCTCTAGAATTTTTGGTAGAATTCCAGCACAGTGAACTCATCTGTGTTTATTTCTATTTGGAAGGTTATTAATTACAGATTCAATTTTTTAAATGAATAATCTAATCAGATTATTGACTTCTTGTATACGTTTTGGTAGTTTTCACTTGTGAAGTAATTGGTCCATTTCATATAGATTATCAAAATTGTAAGCATAGAATAATTCTTATTTATTTAATTTTTAAATTATTTTATTTTATTTTTATTTATACAAGAGCTGGGGTATAGGCCAGAGGCGCGGGAGGGTAAGAGAATTCACCAGAAACAGAGTGGAGAGCAGAACAGGCAGATGGACTGAAATACACTGCTGAGGGGCGCAGTGGGTGAGACAGGAGAGGTCTGCTCGCCATGTGGGTATTTCCCCAGCTGGCCAGGATTGAACCTGCACTGCAGAGGCTGCGGACAGCTTCACAGCACTGCACTCAACCCGCTGTGCCACCAGGGAGGCCCTAAAATAATTCTTAATATTCTGTTATTGTTCTTTTAATCTCTCTATAAAAAACAGTGACAGCCAAGTGTCCTCTTTCACATAACATTAATAATTTGTCTTTTCTCTTTTTATGTTAGACTCGTTATAGATTTATCAGTTTTACTGATTCTTTTCAATAATATTGGATTATAATATTTATTTTCAGTTTGGAATCCCCCAGTAGACAACATCTAGAGGAATTTTTTAGAACAGTAAAACTTCTGGATCTAAAAATAAAGGATTGTAAAATAAACGAACACAACCGTAACCAGCAAGAAGTATAGAAAAAAAAAAGTCTAGCTTTATCAAATATGAAGAATTATATTTGCTGAATTTATCAGAGTTAGAAATTAGATGGATGAATTTTAGCTCTAAGAGAAATGTACCACACATTATACTTTCCCACTAGAGTTGATATAAGTGCCCTTTATAATATGACTAGAACATAAGCCAACTCATATTAAGGGGAAAAAATTCCATCCCTATTATTATCGTATTTTAACAAAATAACTTTTCTGTTTTTAGTTTACTCTATGTAAAAGTCAACAGTAGGAATAGGTGATGTCTGAGTTTTCTTTGTTTTTCCAAATTTTAAGCTTTAAATGTTTTAATATTAAAAGAAATTTCCCTTAAAACATAACATTATTCTTGATAACACAAAGTAGAAAATACCTGTCTCAGAAATAGCATATTATATTTGATAAAGTTTTACATTTATACTTATTTCTGGAAGTAGACATGAAGTCTCTGGACAAGGCAGAGATTTATTATTACTTACAGCAATAAGCACTTCAGATACCCACATGCTAATTTCTCTTTTCTGAGATAATGTATGAAATCAGATGTCACCCTATATGTGTTATGCTCTATACTCTAAATGAGAAAACTTGATGGTAATACAGTTTTCCCTCCTATCAAAATATTTTCTAAGTCAAAGCGACATAAAGCAAAGAAACACATACTATTACTTTGTATGGAATAAGTATTCCCAGACTCCCAAAAAACCTACCAAATCATACAAAATAACACTTCCAACTTTAAATAACAACATACAGTAAAAGTGATGATAAGTACACACCTGTATGAAGTAGAAATAATGTATATACAGTGTAGTTTCACTTACCAGAATCTGAAGGTGGTGAGCACACTGCCAGGCTCAGAGGCGATGATTAGGTGTATCAGACCGAATAATCTGAGGTTGGGGTGGTGGGAGGTAAAGGAGATTGCGGTAAGGAGAAAACGGTGAGGGGTCATCTATTAAAAACTGATCATCTGTTGAAACCCTTAGGACAAGCAGGCAAACACACAGTCTCTGGCATCTGCCACCCCCAAAGTCAAAGGTCCAGGCTGTTATCTAATGTGGCCAACATGGAAGGCTTGAAATACAACAGTGTCCCTGACTGCTTAGCCGCCGGCGTTTTTCCATCACCCAATTCTTTGCAGGCATTCAGAACATCCTGACAACCTGCCCTAAGCCTTTCAAATTAAAGTCGCATTATTTTGCAATCATTGCAGCATGGTGAATCCTAGTGAAAATCCCGCACAAGTTCAGTTCTCGCGACTTAACTTTCTGGCCTTTACCATGTTGCGTTTTGATTAGTAACCTGCCCACCAGCAATTGCATCTCTTCGTCTGTCAGTTCTTGGTCTGGACACTAAAACCTCTTCAATATCATTTTTGTCAACTTCCCCTTGAAACTGAAGTGCTGAGTGTAATTCCTGGGAAAGGAGCTTGGAGGTGCCGTTCTCAAGGCTCGGCGCACACCTTTGCTGTGATGACTGCCGTAAAACAGCCGTTCGTCGCGGTTTTTCACTTTTCAGCTTTTGTCGTAAAATACACTTTGTTTTTCTTTACTTTAGGGGAAACAGGTACTTATGTAGGTCTTTCATAAAAAATGAAGTGGTGTAATGGAAACTTTCAAAAATTCTGTCAGGATTTGTATAAAGATTGAAATTTGTTGAGTTATTTAGCATGAGGAATGCATAATTTAGAATTTGGGAAAGAAATATAAATTTGGGAAAGGTATTTTCTCTTCTAAATATTTTAAAAAATATTTTATAGATTTCAAAATAATTTTTGTTTTCCTCTGTATTATGAGGGAAACTGTCTTGGCCAAACTGTGGTCATTTTAGTGGTAGAAAGAATTACTGCTTTTATTGCTACATCTTTACTTGCCTCAAACAGTATGATTTCTACCTAATGGAAATTTGGCTATTTATAAAGAAAACTTATGCATTTTCTAAGAAGCTTTTTTCTTATTCACATAGATTTTATTCCTTTTTTTCCAAAACAATGCAGGGAACTAATTTTGGTAATATTTAATAATTATAAACTTGCTAGTCAAAAATAACACTAGCAAGCAAATTTTAGTGAAACAAGGCTGACATCCAGTGACTAGTTAAGCTAATGCAAAATTTGTAAATAACAAAAGAAAGAGAGGGTGTTATTTATTTAAAGTTCTAATCAAAGAGAAATACTACTGTTATCTGCCTGACTGATCAATGTATCTAAATCAAACTGCAGGAAACACCTTACATAGTCAATATTTCTTTAGTGTCCGTATTATCAATGACTGCTATTCAATAAATGCCTACAAAATAATTGATGTTACATTTAGTTTTGCTATATCTATTTCTCATAGTGCATCTGGATCTAAAATAATTCTTTTAAATATTTTCATAATAGCCAGTCTCTTGTGTTTGTGCTCAGATTCCAATTTTAGCTGGTTTTTATTATTCAGTTCCTTGTATAGGTATCAAAACACAATTTCTCTGACTTTTCTCTTTGACTGATTAAACATGTAAAACACTTAATTGCAACATTGTATTCCTCATTGATTAATGTTTATTGTGCACCTTTTCTATGTCAAGTTGTTACAAAAGCATGTCTATAAAAGGGGGAGGTATGATGTTCCCTGCCCCATTTAATTATGGGAGAAGATTAGTTACCAGGTGAAGATATGTAACACTAATGGCAGGTTGGCCAAGGGAAGAAAGAAGGATGAAAATCTCTTAATTCTGTGTCCTTACTTACACCGTGGTACTGCTGTGAAGTGTTAACTAATGCTGGTCTTGGTTTCCCTTAGCCAATGGAAGGAAACAGAGTTTGAAGAGAAGGAAAGCAGTTTAATTTGTCGACAAACTGAGGGGGGGCAGCATACTCATTTCAGAAGGACCACCATCTTGTTCTTTGGCATAGGGCAGGGGTATTTATCCAGAAGTAGAGGGCAGTAGAAGGGAGAGTGGCCAAGGGTCAGCATGTTTATCCTTCTAACCGGTTGACGCCAGCTTGATTTCACCAACACCAATTCAGAAAGGTATCTTCTTAATGATGCCATTTCCCATGAAAGTAAAAAAGAAACAAGGTTGTTAAACCTATAGGGTAAATAAAGTAGATAGGAATGCTTACTTATCTGGTGGGGCAGAAAGAGAGCTTTTTATCATTATATCAGTTCTGCCCATATCTGTCCTGTTCATGAGAGTTCCCATGATAACAATATTACATCCGTATATTCTCTAAGACTTACGCAAAATTTGTTAATTACATGGTCTAAACTATAACTTTTCTGCAAGTCCCATATCTTCTGAATCTTGAGTTTAGAGTAATAATTTCTTTCTCATTGTTTTGTTTTGCCTCATTTAAAAAAAGAAAAAAAGAACAAATTTGCAATGAGTAGTGCTAGTCTTAACTGTAAAAAAGCAGTGAAGAGTTTGTAGAACTTTAAGGCAAAAATTATACTATTTGAAATTTTAATTTCATAAGATATCTTACTACTTAGATTTTCAACTTTTAGTAATATTTCCTTTCTTTGACTATCTTCTGGCATAAAAAAAGATGTATGAACATTTGCCTCTCTTTAAATATTTAAATTATTAGCATTGCAAAAGAATATTCCTTTATCAATTGAAATTCCTTTACCAAATGAAGAATTTTAAGCAGCCATTTTAGTTGTTTTGTCTTTGTAAAGTAATGTATTTAAAACTAAATCATCACAATTGCATTTTAGAAAAAGTTTTCAAATTGATACACTATTTACATAATTCATTGGAGAGGAAAAAGGGAATTTTTCTAGGTAAATTGGAAATAAGTCCTTAGTCAATAGAACAAAGCATAGTCTTTTTTTCTTTATTTCTATAATAAGAAAGTATATAAAGATTCATTCTATTCCATCATTATTTCCCTCTTCAGTAGAGTTGAAAAGAGTTCATGAAAATTAATGTTCACAATGTTAAGTCTTGGTAATTAGAATAAGGAAGAATAGAAGACTAAGGCATCAACATAATTACCTGAACTTCAATCCATTGTTACTCCCTGGGTTTGACTGTGATGTTGACTGGTGCTCAACAGCCTACACTATACTTAAGGGTTGTAGACATAATAGTTAGGACACTTTGGCTTTGTTATAATGGATTATTCTATGTGCCCAGCAGAGTATCTAAAACTAGTAAATATTCAATTACTAGTGATTAAATAGATCATTCATGTAAAATGATATGAAAAAGAAGAGTTTGCTATTTGATGATTTGAAAGTTTTGTATGTTCTGGATATTTCTTGGCTGGCTTTATGTAGAAAGATGCCTTCATTTCTGAACTAGAAGGATGGCTTTCTGAAGTAGTTAGGCCCCATGATTTACACCAATTTCTTCTTTGTAGCAAGACATTATATAGCTTCCATTCAACAATGATTAATTGGATTATCAAATTATTTTTCTAACAAGTAATTTTGTATATACCTAATGATACTATAAATGATATGACATATATAAATGGGCACTGTAGAAAATATCCATTTTACAATAAGTTAGGTTGCTTTTTGTGTTTTAATATACTCTAATATCCAATTAAATTTTCATTACACATTTATTTCACAGATCATTTAAATTACTTAGGTGTAGTTATGATTAGCTAGCTTTTATTATACTTCCCATAGAATTACCAAACAAAGGATGATTCTCTTTTAATTTCTTGATAAGTGTTTTCGGTTATATATAGCTTTCTCTGTCTCTTCCTCTTTCTCTCTCACTCTCTCTCTTTCTATATATATATGCACACATATATGTATAAATTTGTCTATATAATAAACATATAATGAATGCTTTCTTAAGCTAAAATTTAAACTTATTCAAATATTACAGAAAACATGTATGTATTGACAATGGAACATTCACAAGATGCTAAAGGTTGGTATGAAGTAATTTTGAAGACTAATCTTGTTCTGTGTTAACATTAAACTTACCAGTATTTTTGAGAATGCTTTAAGGATTGAGTTTAAGGTAAGTTTAGAGTGAAAAGAAACTGAATTTAGAATTTAATATGGCATTATACTAAAATACAGCCAACCAACATGACTTTGAATCTCAAGATTAATTTGTGTATTATCTAATATATTCAGGCTGAGAAAGCAAAGGCATCATCCTGATTTAGGGGCATTTAGCAATTTCTATACACAAAATCTGTGCAATAGGCAAATACCCATTTATTTCCTTGAAATGCAAATTTAGGGTGTTTGGCTTATATCCATGTAATATGCTAATAATAAAACAACTGTTTGATTAAACACCATCAAACCAGTGAAAAGTAAAATATATTATTTAAGTGCATATTTAAAATAATTCCATTTAATATTTTAGAATATATAAACAAATTTTGTTTTTAAGGTGACAGTAGAAAAGAATCAAGATACAAACTTAAAAAACTATAAATATTTGATGAACAATTGTTGCTTTGGTATGACGAAGTTTTTTTTACTGTCCATTTATATAACCAAGCTAGTTTTCTTTAGATTCAGAAAATATATCTATTATACAAAACAACCTGAGTCAGACAATCAGAAATGTAGAACTCAAGAGTTAATGTGGTGTTATGGAAAAAAAGTGTTGAAATTAGAGTTTTATAAGGTCCAACATGATTGATGGTAATAATATTTAATAGCTATAATTTCTATTTTTATTTTTATGCTTAAAGATCTTTCCCAGTGTCTTGTTAACTATTTCAATGCCAAACAACCTTATGTGATTTTTTTACCTCCAGTTTATAAATGAAGACTCAAAAAAAAAAACAAAAACAAAAACAAAAGGACATTAAGACTCTCATCCAGGATCATGAAAATAGTAATTTCAGGATGCTGAATCCAATGCCTATTAGTATAGACTATCTTATTTCAACGGTTCTGCTACTAATAATCTGAATATTAATCATTAAGAGTGGGACTCTTGAATACTGTGGAAATGGTTATAACAAAGTTATAGAACCAAGAGTTTTGTTGTCAGAATTAATGTTAATTTGTGTTTAAAATTTTCTGTAAAATATTCCTCAAATGTTCATGTTCATTTTAATATGTATTATTGTATACCGCCAATGAATATATCTGTATGTTTAAGTGATCATTTGTCCCATTTAGCAGACTACTTCTGTAAAAAGTTCTATAGTATATATTGAGGGTATGATGGACCATAAAGAATGCTCCAAATACTCAATTCTAGCACTAAGCAGCAACTCTAGCACTAAACATGTGTGAACAAATGAAAGACTATGGTCCAATAAAACATTATTTACAAAAACAGGTACCAAAACAAATTAAACTCACAAGCTAAGTCAAGACTTGCCAAACCCTGACTTAGATAATGCCATTGGTTTAGATAATAACTCAAATGACAAATACATATTGTATTTCTAGACACTCAAGTGAGCAGAGGGTGACATCTGAATTAATAAATAGATGAACAAAACAACATTCACATATGCTTCCCCACG